AACAGATTCATCTTGGAGAGGATTAAACCAAGCTACTCCTTGGAGGCAAGGATTCTGGGGCTTCGTCTGACATACTTTGGACATGTTGCCAAGAGGGACGGGTCCTTGTAGAGGGACATCATGCTTGGGAGGGTGGAGAGACAACGCAGGATGGGAAGACCCTCTATGAGATGGATTGACTCGGTGACTGGGGTAATCGGGATGGGTGTGTCGGAGGCAACGTAGTTGGCGCAGGATAGAGCAGGGTTTAGGGCTGTTGTGCATAGGGTCCCTATGAGTCGTAAATGACTCGATGGCACATAACAACAACAACACAACCCTTGGGTTCTGCTTTTCTGAGAATACTTTGATCTCTCCTTGTTATTTGATGGACAATTTTGCTGAGTACAACATTCTGGGTTGACAGTTGTGTTCTTTGAGTGTTTGATTTATCATTCTACTGTCTTACTCTCATAGTTTCTGCAGAGAAATTGGCATTTAATCTTATTTGACCTCTCTTACAGGTTACACTTTGTTTCTCCCTTGCTGCTTTTAGAATTCTCTCCTTATCTTTAGTTATGGAAAATTTGACTGCGATATGTATTGCTGTTTTGAGGTCTATTTCATATGGTGTTTGCTCAACTTCTTGAATATATATTCACTGATTCTTCATCATTGCAGGAAAGTTTTTATCTGATAGTTCTTCCACAACTTTTTCCGTGCCTTTAGCTGCTTCTTCCTGTCCTGGGATTCCAATTATGCTCATGCTACTTGTCTTGATGGTGTCCCACATTATTCTTAGGTTTTCTTCTTTTTACTTTCTTTTTGATTCTACTTTTTGTTCTAACAGATCAGTGGTGACAATACCATCATCTATATCACTGGGTCTGTGTTCTGTCTCTTCAACCCTGTTCATGTGTGCCTCCATCTTGTTGACAGCATCTGAGACATTGGTCCTCATATTTTTGATTATGGTTTCTTGTTTTTCTAGAGCCTCTAATGCCTCATTTGGTTGTTTTGTTCTTTTTTTAATTGTTTTGGATTTTTTTAAAGCTCCTCCTGGTTTTTTGCTTGCAGTGTCCTGTACTTCTTCAAGTTTGTCTTTCACCCATTGAAAATATTCAATCCTTTTAAAAAAAAAATTCTGTACCAGAAAGTCTCATCAGAATTTCTGGCTTAAGGAAATCTTTGGATAATCTGTAATTTTTTGGGTGACATCTTTCTTTGGGCTTGTGTATGGGGAAATGTAGCCTGCTTCCTATGTGACATTGCTGTGGTAGAAGTTTTGGTGTTTGAGGAGATAGCAGGTTCTTGATCTGAAGTCACTGCTCCAGAAAAGGGTGAGGCAGCTACCCTGTCTTGGTCTCTCTCTGCTTTCTGACCCAAGAGATATCTGCTTCAGTTCAGTGGAGAAAATGCCTAAGAAAGCAGCATCATCTTTCAGACAACTGCCACAACTAAGATAGTTCAAGGTGCTCTAGGCTAAAGGCAGGTATTAGACTGGATGTGAGGAGGTGCAAGGCAGACCACTGAGACCTGATTGGAAAATCAGAAAGCTTTGGTTTTGCTTCAAGAACAAGCTCTAGCTGCTTCTTTCTCTTCTGATTGAGCTTAAAGGGTCCACATGATCCATCCAAAAAGCAATTACACCCTTCCCCCCTGAAGTACCTCACTAAAACTTCAGCATCACTCCCCCACTCACGTTGCTCCCCTGTGCAGCATCAGGAGTTCCCAGTGCAGGCTGGTGGTGTCAGGAGTCCCTGATGTGGACTGGCAGTGTCCTAAAATTACTTTTTAAATGACGTTTTATTTTTTAAATTTTTTACACTGTGATTTTAATGAAAGTTAACAGAAAAGTTGGATTTTCATTCATTCATTGTTACATATTTTCCCCTCTACTCCTGGTTCTTGCTTGCATGTGAAATCAGTGAGATTGTTCCTTACTTTCCACACTCTGTTGGGTGACCTTTCTTTGGGATAGGAACAAATATAGATCTCTTCCAGTCAGCTGGCCAACTGGTTGTTCTCCAGATTTCTTGGCATAGCCTGGTGAGCATGTTCAGGGCAGCATCTATTAGCTGAAATATGTCAATTGGTATACCATCTATTCCTGGAGCCTTGTTTTTTGCCATTTCCTTCAAAGCAGCCTGAACTTCTTCTTTCATCACCATAGGCTCTTGCTCATATGTTATTCTTCTGTGTCTTCCAATTCCTTTCGATACAGTGACTCAGTATATTCCTTCCATCTTCTTTTAATACTTCCTGGATCATTTAACATTCTGCCGAAAGCATCCTTGATTATAGCAACTAGAGGTTTGAATTTGTTCTTCAGTTCCTTGAGCTTAAGAAATGCTGAGCGAGTTCGGTCCTTTTGATTTTCTGACTCCAACTCCTTGCACATTTAATTGTAATATTTTGCTTTGTCATCCCGTGCTGCCTTTTGAAATCTTCTATTCAATCTTTAGTATCTTGAATTCTTCCTTGTGCTTTGGCTTCTCTGCGCTCCAGTGCAATTTTCAGAGTCTCTTCTGACATCCATTTTGGTCTTTTCTTCCTCTTTTGTCTTTGTAATGACCTTTTGCACTCTTCCTGAATGATACCCTTGATATCCTCCCACAACTCATCTGGTCATCGCTCACTAGTGTTCAAGGCCTCAAACCTGTTCCTGAGATGGTTCTGAAATTCAGGTGGTATAGACTCAAAGTCATATTTTAGTTGCCTTGGATTTGGTTTAATTTTCCTCAGCTTCAGCTTGAATTTGCATATGAATAGTTGGTGGTCTGTTCCACAATCAGCTCCTGGCCTAGTTTTCACAGCAGATATTGAGCTTCTCCAGTGGTTCTTTCCACAGATGTAATCGATCTGATTCCTATGCATACCATCTGGTGAAATCCAAGTAAATAACCTGCGTTTATGTCTCTTAAAAAATATATTTGCTATGAATAAGTCATTGATTGTGCAAAATTCGAACATTCTCTCTCCAGGTCCATTTCTGTCACCGAGTCCATGTTTTCCAACTACTGAATCTTCTTCTCTGTTCCCAACGTTTGCATTCCAGTCAGCCATTATTATCAACGCATCTTGATTGCATGTTTGATCAATCTCTGTAAAAGTTGGTAAAAATCTTGTATATCCTCTTCTTTGGCTCTGATTTTTGGTGCATATATCTGAATGATAATGGTGTTCACTGGACTTCCTTGTATGCGTATAACAACAACAACAACAACCCCTGGTTAATTTTTTTAAAATATTCGTTTGTTGTTGCATAATTTCCTCCCTTCCTCCATCCCCCAGTCACTTTGCTATGCACCTTTTGTTCTGGACTGTTGTCATACAAATAATGCCTCATCATATATCCCTTTTAAACACTTCTGCCCTTCATCTGTTCCAAAATACTGTTTATTATATATCCCCTTTTTTCTTTCTTCCCCCGCAGGTCTACCCTGTTTTATAATAGTGCTGTTATTCAGTATTTGTCCTTTTGTTATTGAGATATTTCACTAAGCAGACTGTCCTCCAAAGTCACCCATGTTGTGTAATATTTTATGAGTTCCTTATTTTTAATTCTGCATAGTATTCCACTGTGTGACTATACTATAACTTTTCTATCCATTTGTTTATTGATGGGCATTTGGATTGCTTCTATGTCTTTGCTATTGTAAATAATTTAGCAATTAACATGGCTGTGCATATATTAGTTTGGGTGGCAGTTCTAGTTTCTTTAGCATATATCCCTAGTAGCGTATAATTGCTAACTCAAGTGGTATTTCTATTCCCAACTTTTTGAGAAACTGTCATACCACATTCTGTAGTAGTTGCATGATTTTCTACACTCCCACCATCTGTGAGTGAATAACGGTTCCAGTTTCTCCACAATCTCACCAGCATTTGTTGTTTGCAACTCTGTTGAACTTTACTATTATTACTGAGGTGAGATAATATCTCATAGTTGTTTTTGTTTGCATCTATCTGTGAGCTAGGGATTTTGAACATTTATTTATTTGTTTGTTTGCCATCTGAATGTCCTTTTTGGCCAAATGTATATCCTGTGCCCATTTTAAGATTAGGTTCTTTATGTTTTTCTTGTCAAGGTGCTATAGTATTTTACAAATTTTAGATGAGTTTCTTAACAGATATATTATTACCAAATACTTTTTCCTAGTTTGTGGATTTCATTTTTGCCCTTTTGGAGAACTTTATTGATGTGCATAGGGATTTGATTGTTAGAAAGTCCTGTTCATTTATTTTATTCTTTCCTGGTTGTGAGTTTTTCAAGATGCTTGGAAGACTGTTCATATTGTGGATTAGAGCTTCTAGAATTCTTACAAGCTTTTCTTCAATGACATTTATAGTCCTTGGTCTTGCTTCTAGGTTCTTTATTTACTTTGAGTTGGTTTTAGTGTATGGTGTTGGTCTTGACTGAGTTTTTTACATATAGTTATTCAGTTTTGCTAGAGGCTTTCATTTCCTCATTTAATTGATTTCATCTCCTTGTCAAAAATCAATTGGCCATAGGTATATGAGTTGATTTTGGGGTTCCTGATTCAATTCTATTGATCTATATGTCTGTCACTATACCAGTACCATGCTCTCTAGACCATCATGGCTATGTACTAATATTTGAGATCAAAGAGTTAGATGCCTCTTACCTTGTTTCTTTATTTCAGGAGTGGTTTACTTATTCATTATCTCTTTCCATTCCAGATGAAATTGGAAATTGCCTTTTCAATCTTGTTGAAGAATGGAATTGCTGTTTGTGTTGGGATTACATTGAATTTGTAGGTTGCCTTTGATAGAATTGCCATTTTCACAATATTGATCTTTCTTATCCATAAGCATAGCATGTTCTTCTATTTTCCAGGTCTCTTTTTGTTTTTTGTAATGCTTTGTATTTTGTTTGAATAGGTGTTTTGTGATGCTAGTTAGATTTACAAAGTATTGGATCTTGTGGTTAGCTATTGTGAAGGGTATTGTTTGCTTAGCTCCATTTCTATATTCTTTTTGTCACTGTAGAGAAATCTACATTTTTACATATTGATCTTGTATTCTGACACTTTGCTGAATTGGTCAACTATATCCAATAGATTTCTCACTGAGTCTTTAGGGTTTTCTAACAATACTATCATGTCATCTCAATATAGAGATAATTTTACTTCCTCGTTGTCAATTTGGATACCTCTTATTTTCTTCTCTTATCTTATTGCTATTGCTAAGGCTACCAATACAATCTTGACAAGGAGAGGTGATAATTAGCATCCTACCTTCGTTTCTGATCCCACAGAGAATGAGAGAATGCCTTTAAACTTTCTCCATAAAGAGTAATGTTGGCTCTTGGTTTTGCATTCAAATGTTTTACAGTGGTGAAGAAACTTCCCTCTATTCCTATTTTGTTGACTGTTTTAATCTGGAAAGGGTATTGGATTTTGTCAAAGGCCTCTTCTGCATCAATTGATAGGATCATGTGGTTCTTATTCTTTGTTTTGTTAATGTGATGAATTACCTTGTTGTTGTTTTTTGTTTTGTTTTGTTTTGTTTTAGTTTGAATCATCCTTACACAACTTTTATGAATCCTACTCAGTCAGCCGACTAAGCAGGTTTGACGGCTGATGTCTCCATGGTGGCTTCTCTTGGTGGCAGTCAATCAAGGGAAGTTTCTAGGGTCTTACACATTGTGTGTTAACTGTCCTTTTTGGCCTTCAATGGTGGATGGGCAATTGGCTTAGCATACAGAAAGCCATGTTCCCAAGCCAAAGGTGTGTGACTCTACTCCATGGCCCTCAGGCTTGCCTTTGT